GAGATGACCTGACCAAGAGGGATTTGGTATCTATTTGGTGCAGTATTAACAGTTGAATGTCAGCTCTGGATAACCCTGTAGTAGAGAAAGGCATAAAGAATGAAAACAGTCATAAATATTATAAGACATATATGGGAACTATTTTGTATTTAATTTTTTAGCCTAAACCTGTTCAGGGGAATAAATCTCAAGGATCAGTTTGGTCAATTTAGTTAACCAAGTGGCCTTCAACAAATAAATTGACTGTTTCATTTTTTTCTTTTGAGACCGAGTCTCACTCTGTCACCCAGACTGCAGTGCAGTGGTGTGATCTCAGCTCACAGCAACTACCACCTCCCAGATTCAAATAATTCTCCTGGTTGAGCCTAAGGAGTAGCTGGGATTATCAAGCACCTGCCACTACACCCAGCTAATTATTGTATTTTTAGTAGAGATGAGGTTTCACCACGTTGGCCAGGCTACAATCCAACTCTTGACCTCAGGTGATCCACCCACCTCAGCCTTCTCAAGTGCTGGGATTACAGGCATGTACCATTGTGCGGCCAAATCATCTATTTTTGATCCGTACAAGATGTGTTAGCTCAGCTTTTCTTAGTTGGCCTGTAAATAGAAAAAGGTAGTATTATTTTTGACTTTTTATTTTTTTTGAGACACAGTCTTGCTCTGTTGCCCACACTAGAGTGCAGTAGCACAAACATATCTCACTATAGTCACAACCTCTTAGGCCCAAGTGATCCTCCCACTCAGCCTCTCTTGTAGCTGGGACCACAGGCACACGCTACCATGCCTGGCTATTTTTTTTTTTTTTTTTTTTTTGAGATGGAGTTTTGCTCTTATTGCCCAGGCTGGAGTGCAATGGCACAATCACAGCTCACTGCAACTTCCACCTCCCAGGTTCAAGCGATTCTCCTGCCTCAGCCTCCCGAGTAGCTGGGTCTACAGGCCTGTGCCACCACGCCCAGCTAATTTTGTATTTTTGGTAGAGATGGAGTTTCATCATGTCGGCCAGCATTGTCCTGATCTCTTGATCTTGTGATCCGTCCACCTCAGCCACCCAAAGTGCTGGGATTACAGGCTAATTTTTTGATTTTTTGTAGAGACAGCATCTCACCATGTTGCCCAGGTGGTCTCAAACTCCTGGCTCAGGTGATCCTACTATCTCGGCATCCCAAAGTGTTGGGATTACAGGCATGAGCCGCTGTATCTGGCCTATTTTGGACTATTTCAGACAAGACATTCAGATTAGTCTGTGGGGTCTCTTAACCTGTTTTTTGTTTTTTTATTTGCATCATAGTGTCATCAGATGTTTTAGTTTAGAAACTCCTAGCCAGGGTAGAATCCTGTGTCCTGGACTCCTGGCAAGGTAACTGAGTTTTTTAAAAAAATGATGAGTTACTGAGAGATTTATTTTTAATATGGAAAAAGCAGGATGGTTGATATAGTAAGTACAAAAAGGCCATCTGAATATGCCAGAATACTCCTGAGAGTTTATATTGAGGAAATATAAACTTTTTATTTATGGTAACCCATAGATACCAATTTTTTTTTTGATGGAGTCTTGTTCTGTTGCACAAGCTGTAGTGCAGTGGCGAGATCTCAGCTCACTGCAGCCTACACCTCCTGTGTTCAAGCCATTCTCCTTCCTCAGCCTCCTGGTTAGCTGGGATTACAGGCATGCACCACCACAACCAGCTGATTTTTGTATTTTTAGTAGAGATGGGGTTTCACCGTGTAGGCCAGGCTGGTCTCGAACTCCTGAGCTCAGGTGACCCACCCACCTTGGCCTCCCAAAGTGCTGAGATTATAGGTGTGAGCCACTGCACTCAGCCAATTTTTGTTATAACTTCTAAATATCATTCTAAAGTAATTGGACTATAACTTGTTTCAGTAGTCCATGTTCCTTTTCATCCTTGATGTCGCTAGGATTTTTTTGAGGTTCTAGGAAATATATGTAAGAGTAGCTAAATTATCAGAATCCAGAGGTACATAGAGTAGGTATGCCAAGATTAATAGTATTAACTAGAGTTATAAATTAATATATAATTATATATGTAATAGAACTATAGTTAGTAGTATTTATAATAATAACCCATAGGATTTAGGGGCTAGATAAATAAATATAGCAGATACAGTATTTTAAATATTTGTAACACACTAATATACTTCCATTGGCACCTCTGCTTAAGCCAGAATTACACTTTCCTTCATAAAATTTCTTTTTTTTTTTCTTGCCCGCTCCCCCAGATTTTTCCAATTAAGAAAACCTTAAAGGCTGGGTGTGGTGGCTCACAGCTATAATCTCAGTACTTTGGGAGGCTGAAGTGGGCAGATCACTTGAGGTCAGCAGTTCAAGACCAGCCTGGTCAACATGATAAAACCCTGTCTCTACTAAAAATATGAAAAAATTAGTCAGGCGTGGTGGTGCATGTCTTTAATTCCAGCTACTGATGAGGCTAAGGAAGGAGAATCATCTGAACTGGGGAGGTGGAGGTTTTAGTGAGCCAAGATCGCACCATTGTACTCCAGATAACAGAGTGAGACTCTGTCTCAAAAAAAAAAAAAAAAAAAAAAGCCTTCAAAATCTGCAGAAACCAGATGTGGTAGTTTACACCTATAATCCCAGCACATTGGGAAGATGAGGCAGGAGGATTGCCTGGGCCCAGGAGTTCAAGACCACTGCAGGCAATATAGTGAGACTCCATCTCTACAGATAAATAAAATATTTAGCTGGGCATAGTGGTGCATGCCTATAGTACCAGCTACAACGGAGGCTGAGGTAGGAGGATTGCTTGAACCTGGAAGGTTGAGTTTGCAGTGAGCCGTGATCGTGCCCCTGCATTCCAGACTGGGTGATAGTGGGAGGCCCTGCCCCAACCAAACCAAATTAAAGCAAACCAAACCTAAATTACTACATATAATTGCTAAGATAATAGAATAAAACTTCCCTGAACTAGAGAATGACTTTTATCTTCAGATTAACTGAAATGATTCACTCATTCCCAAGCTGGTGGTTTTAAATATGTCTACAAATTCTTTCTGTTTTGGTTTTTTGGGACAGAGTCTCACTCTTGTCACCCAGGCTGGAGGGCAATAGCACAATCTTGGTTCACTGCAACTTGTGCCTCCGAATTAAAGCAATTCTCCCACCTCAGCCTCCCAAGTAGCTGGGATTACAAGTGCCTGCCACCACGCCCAGCTAATTTTTGTATTTTTAGTAGAGACAGGGTTTCACCATGTTGGCCAGGCTGGTCTTGAACTCCTAACCTCAGGTAATCTGCCTGCCTTGACCTCCCAAGGTTTTGGGGTTACAGGTGTGAGCCACTGTACCTGGCCTACAAGTTCCTTTTTTTTTTTTTTTAATTTTACATTAAGTTCTGGGATACATGTGCTAAATGAGCAGTTTTGTTACATAAGTATACATGTGCCATGGTGGTTTGCTGCACCTATCAACCCATCACCTAAGTGTTTTTTTTTTTTTAAGATAGAGTCTCAATCTGTCACCCAGGCTGGAGTACAGTGGCCTGATCTCTGCTCATTGCAACCTCCACCTGCCAGGTTCAATTGATTCTCCTGCCTCACCCTCCCAACTAATTTTCTGTATTTTTAGTGGAGATGGGAATTCATCGTGTTAGCCAGGATGGCCTCCATCTCCTGACTTCGTGATCTGCCCGCCTCGGCCTCCTAAAGTGCTAGAATTACAGGCGTGAGCCTTGGTACCCTGCCCCACCATCTAGGTTTTAAGCCCTGCATGCTTTAGATATTTGTCCTAATGCTCTCCCTCCCCTTTCCTCCCACCACGGACAGGCCCCAGTGTGTGCTGTTCCCCTCCCTGTGTCCATGTGTTCTCATTGTTCGACTCCCACTTATGAGTGAGAACATACGGTGTATGGTTTTCTGTTCCTTTGTTAGTTTGCTGAGGATGATGATTTCCAGCTTCATCCACGTCCCTGCAAAGGGCATGAACTTATTCTTTTTTATGGCTGCATAGTATTCCATGGCGTATAGTGCCACATTTTCTTTATCCAGTGTTATCATTGATGGGCATTTGGATTGGTTCTAAGTCTTTGCTATTGTAAATAGGGCTGCAATAAACATATGTGTGCACGTGTCTTTATAACAGAATGATTTATAATCCTTTGGGTATATATAGCCAATAATGGGATTGCTGGGTCAAATGGTATTTCTGGTTCTAGATCCTTGAGGAATCACCAACTGTCTTCCACAATGGTTGAACTAATTTACACTCCCACCAACAGCGTAAAAGCATTCCTATTTCTCTACATCCTCGCCAGCATCTGTTGTTTCCTGACTTTTTAACGAGTCATCCAACCACCAATGTAATTAGAGTTGGTTACCAAGTGTCCCTACCAGTCTTCCACCACGAGGGAGAAACGGACTGCAGACAAACCTAGCGCTCCTTGAGCAGTTTAATTCGTACCATAAATACGTAGGCTCCGTAAGGCACGTGCTTCTTCAGTTAGGACTTTTTCAACCCTTTTTGGGGCACAAGGCGATCTTGGATCCTGATACAAAAACTTCGTAAACTTCTCCTCGTCTCTGGTCGGCCCATGGCCCACGAAAGCAGCAGCATGGCACAATTCCCAGCCTAGAGTTCAGGAACTGCCTGTCATGAGCACAACCACTAAACCTACAGCCGCAGAAACTACAGACCCCGCGTGATTACATCACTCAACCGCCAGCGCTGGCCTGGAGCTAGCCGCTGTCGCGTGACCGTTCCTGCCCAATGACCGAGGCCCACGCTTTCCAGACAGCCGCATGCGCTGTCACAAAGCCCGAGCTCGCGCGGCGCCCCGCCGCGGCCGCATGGTGCGCCTGCGTTAATCTTCCCCGAAGGTTCCGGTCGCCAAGATTGCGGGTTCCCACCAAGCATTGCTTCCGGACTCGGCCACTGGAGCGTGTTCCTGATTGGCTTGCTCTGGCGGCTGGGAAGGGACCTGTTAGAGACTGGGACCACTTCCTGAAGAGCGAGGCAGGAAGTTATATCCTTATTTTGGAGTCCTGTAGAGAAAGTGCTCTGTGCTGCATTGGTAGCGGCGAGAGCTGGAGGTGTTGGGTCGGGAGACCGGCCGTTCGGTCCCGCTGCGGGTAGGAGCTGATTTCCATCGCGGCACCACGGCCCACACCTCCAGTCCCGAGCCCGGCGCGGCTGCCCGGGGGTCTCCTTCAGGCTCCTTGACGCGGTTCCAGGGGGCACCTACCCAGGCATCCTCTGGGCCTCGAGCCAGGGGACTGGGTCCCGGCTTCAGCACTCCCGGCTGCAGTAAGAAGTGCCTTTGTCGCTCTGCTCCCTGCCACCATCCCGTGAACCACCGAAACCCTGGTCCAGCGCTACAGCCTTGGACCTGGGACTGGAGGGATCCAAAACGCTCAGCCCCGGCTCCCCACAAACGGGACTCTCTATCGTCTCTGATATGTCGCCCACCATCTCTCACAAGGACAGCAGTCGGCAACGGCGGCCAGGGAATTTCAGCCACTCTCTGGATATGAAGAGCGGTCCCCTGCCGCCGGGAGGTTGGGATGACAGTCATCTGGACTCAGCGGGCGGGGAAGGGGACAGAGAAGCTCTTCTGGGGGATACCGGCACTGGCGACTTCTTAAAAGCCCCGCGGAGCTTCCGAGCCGAACTAAGCAACATTTTGCTGCTACTCTTTCTTTACGTGCTTCAGGGCATTCCCTTGGGCTTGGCGGGAAGCATCCCACTCATTTTGCAAAGCAAAAATGTTAGCTATACGGACCAAGCTTTCTTCAGTTTTGTCTTTTGGCCCTTCAGTCTCAAATTACTCTGGGCCCCGTTGGTTGATGCAGTCTACGTTAAGAACTTCGGTCGTCGCAAATCTTGGCTTGTCCCGACGCAGTATATACTAGGACTTTTCATGATATATTTATCCACTCAGGTGGACCGTTTGCTCGGAAATACCGATGGCAGAACACCCGACGTGGTTGCTCTCACTGTGACCTTCTTTTTGTTTGAATTCTTGGCCGCCACTCAGGACATTGCTGTGGATGGTTGGGCGTTAACTATGTTATCCAGGGAAAACGTGGGTTATGCTTCTACTTGCAATTCCGTGGGCCAAACAGCGGGTTACTTTTTGGGCAATGTTTTGTTTTTGGCCCTGGAATCTGCCGACTTTTGTAACAAATATTTGCGGTTTCAGCCTCAACCCAGAGGAATAGTTACTCTTTCAGGTAACGTATTTAAGCTATTACGGCGTTAGGTTTATTTATCCTTTTGACAGAGTGTGTGACTTTGGAGGGAAGCAGATTAATTTACTGGAAATCATTTTATGGGAGATAAGGTAAGTTTTCTGTTTCGTCAAAATGAGCTTCTTTGAAGTATTAAAGCCAAATCGAATGACACTAGAGCAATCAAATAATCAGCACTCTGCATTTAACAGGAAGAGGCAAATCATCAAATAACATGAGTCCAGGGATTCATGCCCCTTACTTAATACACAAATGCACATTTTTTAAAAGTGTGGCTTCTATGGTTCACATTTTTCCTTTTATCTTGTTGGTTTTAGGTTTCTAGCTCTATATTTTCTGATCCATTTTTACCCCTACCGTTGTACCCAGAGTCCCTCATCTACCCTTTTAGTGAATGGAACAGGGTTTAGTTCAAACATAATTGAGTCAGCTAAGGAACGGGATTCTAAGGCCTCTTATGAATAAGACAGAGTTCTGCACACAAGAAATAGGGGAGATGAACATTTTAGGAGAGTTCAGAGTTGCCAGTTTGTAGGTGCCTTTGGGGGTCAGGCGTCATGTTGCAGGTAACGTTTGACTTTGTTCTTGAATAAGATTCCACGAGGCCAGGAAATGGCACACCAGAATGCACAATACAAAGTGAAAGTGCACTGAGGCAGGAAAGTCCAAAAAAAAAACACAAAAAACAAAAAACCCAAACAGAAAAAACCCAAACAGGACATTGCCTAAATTGTGGAACTGGGTTTGGGAAATAATGCTGAGAAAGGCTGTGACTAAATTAGTAAGATTTTCTTTAATTGCTATGGGAAAGAGTTTAAAGTTTGTCCTGTAAGAAATGGAGGGTAAGTTCTACAAAGTTTCCCCTTTTTTCTGCATGAGTAAAATACATGTAAGTTTTTTCTATTTTTTTTTTCTTTTTTTTTTTTAATTGAGATGGTAGTCGGGGGTGGGGTTCTTACTATGTTGGCTAGGCTGGTCTTGAACTCCTGGCCTCAGGTGATTCTCCCCCTCCTCGGCCTCCCAGAGTACCGGGAGTTACAGGTGTGAGCCACCCCACCTGACCCTAAACTTTTCTGAGGTCGTTTTTACGATGTTTTTTTTTTTAAACTTTTCTAACAACTAGAAAACAATTAAAATGACCAATATAAGGAATAACAATGTCAGGAATATAGTGGAATTCTTCATTCTGTTAGTGATGATGAATTTAGGGGATTCTGTTTTGAAATTTAAACAGCTCAACTTATCAGCTTCTGTGCTAGCTTGGTAATTCCCAACAGAGTAAATGTCCAGGTATGTGGGTGGTGGCAAGTGTCACAACTGTTCTACCCATTTCCTGCAATCTCCTGCAATCTTACTCATTCTCACACACATCTAACCTTATGTCCACCTCCTCAGACTGCTAGTGAGCCACTATTACTGGTGAAATGATGGTGGCAGTACTTTTTCCTCAGTTGTTTGGTGAGAGATACTGCTTTGTACTCAGGCAGATTTGTCTCAGTGTTCTGGCGCTCCACTCCTCTTTTATGAATATTTCACTGCTGGCTGGGTGCAGTGGCTCAGGCCTATAATCCCAGCACTTTGGGAGGCTGAGGCGGGTGGATCACTTGGGGTCAGGAGTTCAAGACCAGCCTCGCCAACATGGCGAAACCCCGTTTTTGAAACTGACTCAAAAATACAATAAAATAAAAACAAGTCATGGCTGGGCGCTGTGGCTTACACCTGTAATCCCAGCACTTTGGGAGTCTGAGGCGGGAGGACTGCTTGAGCTCAGGAGGTAGAGCCAGCCTGGGAAATACAGTATCTCTACTAAAAATAAAAAAAATTGGCTGGGTGTGGTGGCAAAGGCCTGCAGCCCTAGCTACTCAGGAGGCTGAGGCAGGAGGATTGCTTCAGCCCAGGAAATTGTGGTTATAGTGAGCTGTGATCCAATTATTGCACTCTAGCCTGGGCAACAGAGCACAACCTGTCTTAAAATAAATTAATTAAAATTAAAATTAAATTTAAAAAAGAAGTCCAGGCTGGGTGCAGTAGCTCATGCCTGTAATCCCAGCACTTTGGAAGACTGAGGTGGACAGATCACCTAAGGCCAGGAATTTGAGACCAGCCTGGCCAACATGGCAAAACCCCTTCTTTACTAAAATACAAAAATTAGCTGGAAGTGGTGTTGCTCACCTGTAATCCCAGCTACTCAGAAGGCTGAGTGGGGAGAATTGCTTGAATCCAGGAAACAGAGGTTGCAGTGAACTGAGATCACACCGCTGCACTCCAGCCTAGGCGACAGTACCAGGCTCTGTCTCAAAGAAAAAAAAAGAACCAGTCAGCCTAAATTAAAATTCAGTGGCATAATTTTGATCCATTAGGGAACAGTTGTGGCTAACGGAGTATAGATATAATAACTGTTGAACTAATAATGGCATTCTCTGGAATGATGTTTTACCAGTCAGTCTTATATTAGGAGAAAATTCCAGTTTAGCTGATTAGCAGTTTAGTTTCCATAGCCTGTTTTTGTTTGTTTGGTTTTTGTTTTTTGGGTATTTTTTGAGACAGAGTTTCTCTCATGTTGCCCTGACTGGAGTGTAATGGCACAATCTCGGCTCAGTTCGATCTCTGCTCACTGCAACCTCTGCCTCCTGGGTTCAAGTGATTTTCCTGCCTCAGCCTTCCAAGTAGCTGGGATTACAGGCATGCACCACCACGCTCGGCTAATTTTGTATTTTTAGTAGAGACGGGGTTTCTCCATGTTGGTCAGGCTGGTCTCGAACTCCTGTATTTCAGGTGATCTGCCTGCTTTGGCCTCCCAGAGTACTGGGATTACAGGTGTGAACCACTGTGTCTGACCTCCACAGCCTCTTAAACCTTTATTTATCTGAGGCTTTCTCGTTGTAAGTCACATCATGTCCTTAATCATCTGTGGTGACATAAACAGCAGTCCCAGGACAAAATGAAAAGCAGTCCTAGGACAACGTGAAAATGAAAAGCATAAAAAGCAACAAAGTGATGACAGTATGCCTTCACAAAGTGTTTCTAGGCAGTGAATTGTTGTTGTTATTTTTGAGATGGAGTCTTACTCTTTTGCCTGGGCTGGCGTGCAGTGGTGTGATGTCAGCTGACTGTAACCTCCGCCTCCAGAGTTCAAGCTATTATCATGCCTCAGCCTCCCAAGTAGCTGGGATTACAAGCGTGCACCACCATGCCTGGCTAATTTTTGTATTTTTGATAGAGATGGGGTTTCATCATGTTGCCCAGGCTGATCTTGAACTGCTGACTCAAGGGATCAGCCCACCTCAGCCTCCCAAAGTACTGGGATTACAGGTGTGAGCCACTGCTCCCGGCCATGACTTGTTATTTTGAATTTCTTTTTTTTTTCCTATGGAATTTGAACTTTGTTCTGCAGGAGATTCTAAAAATAGCTTACTTTTTAATTTAACTGTTTATATCTGTAGTGGACTGCTGTTTCTGGTTCAAACATTTTAGTTGGAAGTTAGAATTCCAGGCCGGGCGCGATGGCTCATGCCTGTAATCCCAGCACTTTGGGAGGCTGAGACAGGTGGATCACGAGGTCAAGAGATCGAGACCATCCTGGTCAACATGGTGAAACCCGTCTCTACTAAAAATACAAAAAATTAGCTGGGCATGGTGGCGCGTGCCTGTAACCCCAGCTACTCAGGAGGCTGAGGCAGGAGAATTGCCTGAACTCAGGAGGTGGAAGTTGCGGTGAGCCGAGATCGTGCCATTGCACTCCAGCCTGGGTAACAAGAGCAAAACTCCAACTCAAAAAAAAAAAAAATAAATAAAATAAAAAAAAGAAAGTTAGAATTCCTATAGTTAAAAATAAATAAATAAATAAATACAGCCTATAGTTTTATTCTCCTTTTTATGACTGAACATACCACATTTATAACATCGTTCTTTCTGGAACTTACTAATAGGATAACTAAGAAAAACCAGTGGTGGCCGGGTCCGGTGGCTCAAGCCTGTAATCCCAGCACTTTGGGAGGCCGAGGCGGGTGGATCACGAGGTCAAGAAATCGAGACCATCCTGGTCAACACAGTGAAACCCCGTCTTTACTAAAAATACAAAAAATTTAACTGGGCATGGTGGTGCATGCCTGTAATCCCAGCTATTCAGGAGGCTGAGGCAGGAGAATTGCCTGAACCCAGGAGGCGGAGGTTGTGGTGAGCCGAGATCGCACCATTGCACTCCAGCCTGGGTAACAAGAGCGAAACTCCATCTCAAAAAAAAAAAAAAAAAAAAAAAAAAAAAAAAGAAAAAGAAAAACCAGTGGTTTTGAGAAAGTTATAGAGTACAGAAAGAATTATATGAGCCGGGCGCGGTGGCTCAAGCCTGTAATCCCAGCACTTTGGGAGGCTGAGGCGGGTGGATCACGAGGTCAAGAGATCGAGACCATCCTGGTCAACATGGTGAAACCCTGTCTCTACTAAAAATACAAAAAATTAGCTGGGCATGGTGGTGCGTGCCTGTAATCCCAGCTACTCAGGAGGCTGAGGCAGGAGAATTGCCTGAACCCAGGAGGCGGAGGTTGCGGTGAGCCGAGATCGCGCCATTGCACTCCAGCCTGGGTAACAAGAGCAAAACTCCGTCTCAAAAAAAAAAAAAAAAAAAAAAAAGAATTATATGAAGAAAATATAATTGCTTAGGTGATTAAAGAGAAGCTAAACACTGAGGCAATGTTTAAAAATTAGAGTATTAAAAGGGTGTGTGTGTGTGTGTGTGTGTGTGTGATTTTTTTAAATTCTGAAATACGTTCTGGCTGGATGCGGTGGCTCACACCCGTAATCCTAGCACTTTGGAAGGCTGAGGTGCACCGATTGCCTGATATCAGGAGTTTGGGACCACTCTGGGCAACATGGCGAAACCCTGTCTCTTCTAAAAATACAAAAAATTAGTTAGGTGTGGTGGCACATACCTGTAATCCAGCTACTTGGGAGGTTGAGGCATGAGTCGCTTGAACCCAGGAGGT